ATGATTTGAGCAAAAGAAAATAAAGATTACGTCAATTCCGAGAACAAAAAATAATGAAAACGAACTTCGGTTCCGAGCCTACAACAACAAAAGGTGCCGAGTCTTCTTATTTGGAGCCCACTCGCCTTTCGTCAGTCTCGTGCCAATGCTGTCATTACAATCGCGAAAGGATCTCGCCCCACGGGTTCCCAAGCGCAAGCCATCGAGAGACTTAGTTGTCAAAGGAAGGAGCGACAAACGGCAGAGTGACAACAATTCCATGGCAAATGCCAGATTCGACGACGGTTGCAGTAGCCAGAGCCTCGGTTCTGCAACTACGATGACATCGCTGATCGATGGATTTGGGGACCCCTCTCCTATCGCAAGGACTCCGGTCAAAAGGATAACATCATCCTGTCAGTTGATGGACCCATCGCCTACAAAATGCGACGCACCACCAACTATCCCACAACGAGAGCCGAATGGGAGTATCGATTCGAACTTACAATCGAATTAAGAGTTGGGCATCTACCTTCTCGACGACATTAGCTATTTCTCTCTCGAAAGTCAGAGCAGCGAATGCCAAAGCATGGGGTCGACGCCGTGTTCGACACAGTAGATATTGGCATGCTTGATACATCATATGAGTAGACTTGGAGCGGTAACATAGTATAACAATACAAGTACTGGATAGAATACAGCATATCATCATAAGTGTCTTATCCCACTTGTATGCTATTTGCTACCAAGTGTGTTTGCCCTGATGAAATGAGCCTGTGATATCTCAAAAAGAGTTTTTCGATGCCGCTAAGCTAAAGCCCTAGCGTCCTCGTGTTATGTTCATTGTCTAATGATTCGTTGATTTTCTGCGATACAATACATCGGTTCGAACCACATACTTTGTTCCCTTGGTGACTGCTGATCCTTCGTGCAGAAGCGAGGCTGTATTTCCCTGAGGGAATACGAGAACGCAACCCTTTTTTGGTTCAACTCCTTGTGCTACCATTTCACCAGTACTTCCATTGCTCGGCCGATAGAAACGGGTCGCCCCCCCTTCGAAACCATCGTTGAGATAAATCAAGAAAGTCAGAAAGCTCCTTGTCTCTCCCGAGGCATCAGTGTCATATTTGTATCGCTGGCAGAACTGTTGCCCTTCACTATCATTGATAGTATCATCATGGTCAGTGCTATTTTCCTCGTCGTCTTTGTTGCGGGGTACCAACTTGCTCTCCGGCCAAGACCCATCAATGTGCGGTCGATAGACACACCCTTGTCCGTACCGAAAGAATCTCCATCTTTTGTTGATCGAGTTCAACTCAAAGCACGGTTTTCGTTTTGCTACCTCAGACTCTTCGCCCATTCGAGACTGCAATTCAATATTGGTTCTGGGCAGCAGGCTCTTCACTCTTTCAAAAAGAAGATTCTGCAACGCTGTTTGATCCAAAAAGAAGTGTTAGAGTCCTCAACATAAATTATACAAAAGTGGGTGACACAGAACCCAAATCACTTACAATCTGGAATCATCCACTCGCAGGAGTCAATGCCAGTGGGTTCTGCCAAGGTCTGTGGATGATCGGGACGATACCCCAAGGCTGTAGCTACTTGAATAAGTTTTGAACATTCCTCATCTGTGAATACATTTTGCAGCACTCGAGCACC